GATATTCTGGTACTGTTTGATCGTGCCATACATAACCTGTTTAATTTCTGATATTCCACTACTGTTTGATCATGTCATACATAATCTGTTTAATTTTTGATATTCTGGTACTGTTTGATCGTGCCATACATAACCTGTTTAATTTCTGATATTCCACTACTGTTTGATCGTGTCATACATAATCTGTTTAATTTCTGATATTCTGGTACTGTTTGATCGTGTTATACATAACCTGTTTAATTTCCGATATTCTGGTTCTCTTTGATCATGTCATACATAACCTGTTTAATTTCTGATATTCTGGTACTGTTTGATCGTGTCATAAATAATCTGTTTAATTTCTGATATTCTGGTACTGTTTGATCATGTCATACATAACCTGTTTAATTTCTGATATTCTGGTACGGTTTGATCGTGTCATATATAACCTGTTTAATGTCTGATATTCTGGTACTGTTTGATCGTGTCATACATAACCTGTTTAATTTCTGATATTCCACTACTGTTTGATCATGTCATACATAATCTGTTTAATTTCTGATATTCTGGTACTGTTTGATCGTGTCATACATAATCTGTTTAATTTCTGATATTCTGGTACTGTTTGATCGTGTCATACATAATCTGTTTAATTTCTGATATTCTGGTACTGTTTGATCGTGTCATACATAATCTGTTTAATTTCTGATATTCTGGTTCTGTCTGATCATGTCATACATAACCTCTTTAATTTCTGATATTCTGGTACTGTCTGATCGTGTCATACATAACCTGTTTAATTTCTGATATTCCACTACTGTTTGATCTTGTCATACATAATCTGTTTAATTTCTGATATTCCACTACTGTTTGATCGTGTCATACATAATCTGTTTAATTTCTGATATTCCACTACTGTTTGATTAGGTTGGATGTAATCATTTTTTGTTATTCCAGTAATGTTTGATTGGACCAGATGTAATCTATTATGTATGTAGGGTTTTAGTTGTTATACATGTTTATGTTCTACATATAGTGCCTATTAAAGAAGCAAGGATATGAAAGTATAGAGAATATGACAGGTATCAACTGCTGTAAAATTTTTAAAGTTTTTTATATTGTATAAAGTTTAAATAGAAATAAACCATGTTTCTGATGGGTATTTTTAACCTAATTTGCCTTTTAATTTGTAGGCACATAGGTTTGATGTTCTATGTTGTGCAAAGGCTGAAAAACATGAATTGTTAGGTAACCATGGAAACAGCTGGCTCTTTATTGTCTTCAAGAATTATTATGCTCCATTTCTAATGAAAACACCTGTGAGAGTCACAGTGGTGAGTATTAACCACTATAATATTGTTAGATAACCATGGAAACAGCAAGCTCTGTATTGTCTTCAAGAATTATTATGCTCCCTTTCTAATGAAAACACCTGTGAGAGCCACAGTGGTGAGTATTAACCACTATAGTATTGTTAGATAACCATGGAAACAGCTGGCTCTGTTATCTTCAAGAATTATTATGCTCCCTTTCTCATGAAAACCTTCACTATCAATGTAGCAGGAGATATATCATCATTATGTCTGTATTTGTAAAGTATTATAATTACAGTCAGTGTAGCAGGAGATATATCATCATTATGTCGGTATTTGTAAAGTATTATAATTACAATCAGTGTAGCAGGAGATATATCATCATTATATCTGTATTTGTCAAGTATTAGAATTACCATCAGTGTAGCAGGAGATATATCATCATTCTACCTGTATTTGTAAAGTATTAGAATTACCATCAGTGTAGCAGGAGATATATCATCATTCTACCTGTATTTGTAAAGTATTAGAATTACCATCAGTGTAGCAGGAGATATATCATCATTATATCTGTATTTGTAAAGTATTAGAATTACAATCAGTGTAGCATCAAATATATCATCATTCTACTTGTATTTGTAAAGTAGTATAATTATCATCAGCGTAGCAAGAGATATATCCTTCACCTGTTCACTGTTGTACTTGTAATCATTATTGTGTTGTTGACAACGTTAAATGTAATATCTGCCCATGTTTTTTTACCTAACCTTGCATGAATATTGAGACTTGTCTTTTAAAAGTGATAATGGTTTTGAAGTAACACTTGTAGAAGCAGTTTGTTTAATCCTGTTCTGTGTGATGGAGGACACTCTCTGAACAAGTAGAAAATTTTGGTTATTATTGTGTTTAGAACATTAAAATAAACATGCAAAATATTGTGTTGTTATAAATCATGATTTTGGGGGTTTCAGGATGGTAAATGTTATCTGATAGATCATTATTATTATTATTTCTGTACCCTTCATTACTGTCTCATTGAAAATAATTATTTGATGTACATTTATATTAGTAACTATAATCACCCTATTGATATGAGTTATTATTGGCTTTCATTAGCAGCTGAATTTCAGATATTGTGATTTGAAAATTTGTTTTACTTTTGAATGGGTTAGAGCTAGAATATACAGCATAGTATTTTTTTGGCTGAAACTTTTTATGTATCTATATTTACAAAATGTCAAAACAAATTGATAATTTTTGTAGCTAACTATTTTTGTTGGCTGGCTGTGTTCTTCAGTAGCTGTTCTTAATCAAATAGATGTTGGACTAGACCAGAAACTCTCCATGCCTCAGGTAATTATATAATAATAAAAGCAATAATATTATTAATAAATTTTGGACCATGGTGTGTCATTCATATCTCTTGAATGTTTCCTTGTCACAATGGAAACCACGTTGCTTGAAAGTTAATATCTTATTAAGTAATATTTAGTTTTATCTTTAAAAAAAGTCATATAACTTCATTATTTTTCTATCATTTTTATGTTATGAAATTTCTAAAATTTTGTTGAGAAACTGTTGTAAAAAAACATTAAAATACTTCTTTTCACGTTAATTTTTTTTATTGTCGATACAAAAGTTTCATTTTATATATATAATTATTCAGTTTTAAGTTGATTGAAATTCATTACCCTCTTCTTATACTTTATTTTGACAATTGTGGTAGTCAACGCTTGTGGATTTAAATCATAAAAAATACGACAACAAGTGGTAAAGATTGATCAGTGACTTATAACTTGACCTTTAACATCAGGTCAGGCTGATAATATTTTTGCTAACAATATTCTTGGCCATGATCAATTTATAGCTAATGTGGTTTCTTTGCAATAGATAATAAGTTCTTTTACTGATCCACATTGTTTGAATATGATAAAATAAATAATGATTCAAGTCACCTACCACACATACTAGACCTAACTAAATCTTACATGATGTCTTTCATAGAATAAAATTTCTGTAGCTTTCCAGCACATATAATTTAACACAAAACATTTTCAGAAATGAAAAGATTTGCAGGTCTGTATAAATTCTTAAAAGTTTTTTATAAATTAAAACATTGTGGAAATACTGTTGGAATTATTATATTTACTTACATTTTGAAGTTTGATATGCATGTGTGCACTCAACACCTGAGGGATGCTCATCAGTCCTGATAGGGTTAAATTGTCAGAAAATTTGCATGAGAGGGATA